TTTGAGTAAAGCCGTGATTGACCTTAAACTGCCGAATGAAACTGAAGGTATTGCCGCTGTTTATGTACGGCTATCACGTTTAGAACGTTTAATTGATGTAGCTATTTTCCGGCCTTTCGATTACGAAGTTCTACGAATCAAGTCACGTAAATCGCAAGCTGCTGAAATTGAAAGACTTGATAAATTGTATATTGATACCCAATTTCGATTTTCTGAGTATTTTCAATAATTTTTCTTTATTATATAAAAAGCATGTTAGTTGCTATCAATTGTTTTGTATAATGTTTTTCTTTATGAAATCATCAATCTATGTTCGTTATTACAATTGTGTTTTTTTGTATTATTGTCTCTTCTACCAGAGATGGAACCGGTACCGGCAACCGGCCGGTCCGGTACCGGTCCGAACTTTAGACCGGTAACTCTACCGGTATTTACCGGTCTGCCGGTCTACCAGTACTTGCCGGTCTACCGGGTTCTTACCGGTCTACCGGTACTTGCCGGTCTACCGGTTTCTTACTGCCCTGTTTTGTGGTAAAAACTTTTTTTTCCGGAAAAATGATTTTTTTACCGAAAAGTTAGCTGTACCCCCCTAGGGGGATAAAATGTGAAAGTTGTTAGGAGTCAAATTTAGTATGTGATCCGTCAAAATCGAATCGACTTAACAAGTTTTACACTACTGATTATTACCGGTCTACCGGTAAATACCGGTGGACCGGCAAAAAACCGGTAGACCGGCCGGTCCGGTCCGGTCGAAAAGTTTTAGACCGGTACCGGTACCGATCGTCAAAAAACCGGACCGGTTCCATCTCTGTCTTCTACAGTAACTTTGTAATTCTTTTCTAGTTGATAGTATGGTCTTTAACCTCATCGGCGAAAAACACTTCGTCGAAATGCAGATCGCCGATTTTCGGCGATCTGCATTTCGATAATCTGTAACTTCGGCGATATATATTTCGACAGTCTATCATTTCTAGAATTTCTCTTTCGACGAAGTGCTAGTCGGCGATATTGCTTTTCGCTAATCACATATCCAACACAACAACTCGCTATTCATGCTGGCGCATAATACTACGAATTTCGATGATATATATAAATATATATATATATATATATATATATTCAACGATGAAGGAACGATAAAGACGAGAAAGAATTGTCGAGGAAGTGACAACTAGTGAGATAGAACTTTAAAAAAATTCGGCGATCTCTATTTCGATGATCAATAGATCGATAATGTGTATTTCGATAATGTTCATTTCGGTAATCTTTCTTTTCGATGATGTTTGAATTTGAGCGAGTTTCGACGATCTGCGTCTTCGGTGATGTTGTTTTCGGCGATGAGGTACATAATCGATAGTATGAAAAGTTATTTGGTGGTTATAGATGCATCTTCCTTTTCGCATCTATTTTTTTGTTTGTTTTAATCACATATTCAATATATTTGTATTATCCTATTATGTATAAAGTTCTTAGTAAATAAAATATAATCAGTTATATCATAGAATCTTAGCATTTTTCAAATAATTAGATATCATGGCACAAACTACGACATGTTATAGATCTATCTACAATTCTATTCAGTAAAAGTGCGATTGTAATTGACAACACTGAACATTTTTTCCATAACACATCACGGTATAGGATTGTTCTGTTCAATCTACATTCCATTTAGTCAAGCATAAGTATCAATATGCAATAGTATAAAACACAGTCTTTCTCTATTGTTGTCCTGACATGATACTGATTTTCGTGCTACTGTACGAATTTGTAAGTTGACGCACTTCTGATCATCCACATTTAATTTTCACTGTAACATTAATTATTAAAATCTACATCGTTTCGTGATATTCATAAGGAAAACCTAAACCTATAATAGATTTCACTATCAAGACATATAAAAGAGAATTCTACAACTTTAACTTTGAAAGCAGCTTGTTTTACTAATTTGTAGATAAGAATGATGATTTTATATATGAAACCACGATAACTCAAACCCAACTATCCTATCATACACAATTAAATCATATTTATAAACATATGTGTGCATACTTTTACTATTAGCAAAATTATGTTTATAAAACTAAGCTATATTGTTCTAATAAGTTTCTAAATAAATTTTATGAAATCTTTTTATTTATTATTGAGTAGAGGCCGTCAATCAATGTGCGCTGAGTTCCAGGAAAACGTTATTTTGTCATTTCATTCGATATGAGCGGTGAAATAAATGAGTATTTACATCATTTCACATAATTCTGAGAATTGTTTTCTCAACTTGACTGATATAAATTAAATTTCATATCAAGAAATGAACAGCAACAGATAACGGTAACAATACGACAAATATAAACCCAAAAATAGAAATAAAATGTTTTGTTCAACTGTGTACATATTAGTAGGAAATGTTCAAAAACCTATGAGAAAAGACCTGAGATTTCATAAACAACTAGCAACTTATCGATTTAATTGTTTTCGTATGCTTTCTAATTCTTCGGCATTTTCAAGAGCATCGAAGTCTTCATCGTCAAGATCACTATCACTTGAACCTAAATTCAGACAATTATAATTTATGCATAAATAAGAAATATTTACAATCTAGTTGGACATTTGCTGATGGTAATACTTGTGTTGTATTTCTTGAACGAGTTGATCTTCTTGATGATGACTGTAATATTAAGATAATTGCTTTAACAAAATTAATTAATAAATCAATTAAAATACTTACTGAAGTCGTAGCCATTTTGGACTTCTGAGATGCAGCATCAGCTGTTGATTTAGTTGATGTTGGATCGGAGGAATCATTTGACTTTTTAACATTCACTAATTGTCGAAGTTGTGTTTGTACCTGAAAAGTTTCATAGAATCGAATATAAGAAAGTAAATATGTATGATTCTTTTGTGATGGTGTTAAATACTGGGGTGGAAAAATGTTTTTCGTTCCATCAGCACTACGAGCTGTTCGAATCAAACGAACATCTTGAGGGTGTGGGTGTGGGTGTAACTGATGTCAGTGTAAAAGATAATACCCACACCCACCCACACCCACACCCACACCCACACCCACACCCACACCCACACCCACACCCACACCCACCCACCGACACCCACACCCACACCCAAACCCACCCACACCCAAACCCACCCACACCCACACCCACACCCAAACCCACCCACACCCACCCCACACCCACACCACCCCACACCCCACGAGGGATGGACCATATCCCTTAAAAAGAAGAAACTGTTCCAATTCAAGGAGAAATCCTTTACCCACATAAAATCCAGGGGATATTCTTTTCCCATACAACTCGAATCAATTCGAGGTCAAAACGTTGATCCATATCTCCACTCATAAGGAGAAATGGTTGATTCGTATCTCCATTTATAAGGAGAAATGGAAGAATGAAAATGGAGATATGAATGTTTTTATTTTTTCAATCTAAGGAGATATTCTAGCAGATTTGGTTTTTTATCAGCAGAAATGAATAAGTTTTAATACGAAATGGTTTATCCATATCTCCATTTATGAGAAATGGAAGATATATGAAGGGACATATGGTTTATTTGTTTATCACTTTAAGATGATATTCTAGCTGATATTGCTTTTAACCAAGAGAAATGAATAAATTATAATACCAAATGATTTATAGATATTTTCATTCTTGAGGAGAAAGTGAAGTGCTATAGAGTGAGACGTGAAGTTTTTTCTAGGTAAGAAAGTTTGTAAGGAATATGTTTACTGAAAAGAGATGGAAGTATGAAATGAGATTTGTCTTGTCGGTCGTTGTGCAAGAATATTTGATTGATTCTGAAGAAGTAAAGAACATATTTGTGCATGGAATTTTAGAGAAAATAATATGGTTAATGGTCGTGTCTTTGTTAAAAGCATAAATTCTAGAAGTTTTTTTTTAAACTGTTATTCGAAAAGTCGACGTGTTTGGTACGAAACGATTATGAGTTGTTGAAATGGAGTTGATGATCGGGCTTTGTTTGTAGCTTGAAAGATTTTCTTCTTGCTTGATTTTTTCGTTGTTGTCGTTGATGTTTTCGAGTCATTGTTGTTTGTTGTTTTTGTGCTTGTTTTTCGATGTGCGCAACCATCCCTTGTATGGTTGTCATCTGAACAGCTTGAGATGGATTGAGTTTCGAGGGGTGAGAATTTAGATTGATTTGTTCTGGAAAATTGGCTCTTTGTGTTTTCTATTATTGAAAATTTTGTTTACAATTTTTTTTTGGTTGTTTTGCATACTTTGAATTTGTTTTCAGTAGTTGGTGGTGCTGTAGTTGTTTGCTTGATGGTATCCTGTATATGTTTATATTTAGTTTTTTTCAAACAGAATCAACTCACCTCATGTTGTTGAACTTGTTTAACGTCTGCCATATAAGCGAGACTAATTGTTGGAACGTTTGGAATTGAAGAAATCTGTAAAAATTCAATAGAGATGGAAGTATGATCTAACTAACTAACTTACAATATTAAATATACGTGTTGGACGTATTCCGACACGTTCTAAGTTTTTATAATGAAATATTAATAATAAATAAATTGGCATTCTACGCCAACCAAGAGTGCTAAGAATATTTGAGTTGGTTTTGACCCAACTGAATAATTGTTCTGCTGCTTGAGTGTTAATGTTATCCAGCACTAATCATATAAGAAGTTAATGTGACAATCGTTTAGGTTAAGAAATGTTTACTTTTGTTTTTCTAAGGGTTCATATGCGCTCGACACCATCGTCCTACGTGTCCTTTAAAGTGTGTTCTATCGACACTAAATTTGGTCTCATATAATAGTGTCGATGCTGGTGTGCGTACTAGATCATCTTCAAAATGATTTCGGATGAACTCTACCAAGTGGCAGCCATCGTCATAAACACCACACTTAGGAAAGTTAAAGCCAGATGCTCGAAAAAAATGAAATAATCACCCATGTAAAAATATTTAAAGAAAAATCAGATTATAATCGGTTAAAATTTGA